CATGCAAAGTTTATGCAATAAGCTACATCTCGCAATCTGAGAAGAGAGGGTCCTCGAGGTCCTTAAATGCAAATATCTACGTTCCTGTACCTGTGAATGGCCACTGGTGACTCCCCTGCGTAGATAAAGTCTCCAGACGGTGCTGGTTAGTAGTTAAGGAACCTATATACTTTATTGAAGATATGGATTGTTAATCTAGAGTCAAGGATGGCAGAATATCTAAGAGGGTAGGGGGCATAGTTAAAGGCTGCGATAAAGTTATGTATTACTAGGTAGGTTGCCTTGACGTGTGCCATACCCCGCCCAAGTCACTTGTCCTGAGTAGTTCTGTCTCTACTTTTAGATAATTATTTAACTTCCTCTACTAAACTAATATCATTCTTAAGATAGTTATTTATTAATCGTTATATCGCCTAGTTAGGCTCCTATCCTTTGGCTTTCTAGGCTAGGAATAAGTACTAGCAGCCTTTCTAGTTATAGAAACCTAAATATCCTCGACAGGTAGGGCCATCTGGGTTCGGATTAATAGTTATCTCTGCTCGTTTTCGTTTTGTTAATACTCCTCTTCTGCCGCCTTATGCTCTATGCCTACGGCCTTGGCCTCGCGTATCTCGATATGCATAGGATGTTTCGTCCATCGCCTAATCTAAGGCGTCTCCTTGGACTTCAATAGTGTTATTATCGCGGTCTGTGATTGCAGGTCTATTGTTCCTGGATGCAGCGCCGTATATGGCTGCAAATGCGCCTCTCTTGATTCCTGATGGCCTTCCGCTAGCATTGGCCATTTTGGCTTTATATCGAATATCGGCAGCGACCTCTCGATAGTTGAGGGAATTATTAAGGATTTGAGGGCATTGGTGTTATCGGAAAGTAGATGCCTAGCTGGGGAGGATATGATATATTGCTCGGTTTAGGTCTTCCGCCTAGTATTATGCGTCGAGGGCATCAGGGACTTTCTTGCTGATCGCTTCAGCCATAGTCATCTCCTACTCTATGACCTACTCGTTAAGTTTATTAATCTTTAGGACTATATATATAGCTTTGTGGTACTTATTGCGCGCTTTAGGTCGAAGGCGTTTATTATATACTACTCCAGATCTTCATAGCTCCTGATACTACTTATCTAATCGGTCTCCTGTGATACAGGATGTTTTCTGATATATGGCCGAGACTATCTTGAGGATAAACTCGACCAGCTTCTGCTCCTGTTTCTTCGTCTCTCTATACGCCGTTTCTTTCAGAGAGTAGATCCTGATATCATGCTCATATTCCGCTCTTCCTTCAGACGTCAACTCTCCGATTCGCCGGGGCAGTACGTAATCTGAGCCGGGCGTCATTATGCCACTATCGGGATCATCCGGATCTGCTTGTCTAGGGTAGTCTCGGATTTCTGGAAGTTCTGGTCGCTGAGGCCATCAGATACAATCAGTCGGATCAATATACTGCCATAGGTCGTAGGCATGCGCCAGTTTCTTGAATTCATTGGACCAGGAGTCCCAATCCTCCGGAGACGCGTAGCTAATGGTCCTCTCAGCGTATTTAGCCAACATAGTAATAGAATGAACCGAAGGCCGTATACATTTAGGTGCGCGGGTCGCTGAGATGCAATTGAGACTCTTAATTATCAGACATTACGTGTATTCGGTTCATTGATATGAATTAGTGTATTCATGTTGTGTTCTGTTAAAATCTGCCCCTTAGAGGTTTTACCATTTCGGTTGTAATCTTAAAATATCCCTGCTTGCACATGAGATCCCAGCATCTGTTCAACAGTATGTCTCTGCGCCCATCATCCGGACGTGTTCTCGTTGTTCTTTGGTCATTCGGCGGAGGACGCCGCGCACTTTCTTCGGCCGAGCTGGACACCTACGAAAGCTGGCCTCATGGGGGCCCAAGCAGTTAACACACTGCTCTGGTGCAGCACAGTCGTCTACTATATGGCTAGTCTTGCCACAGCGTTGGCAGACTGGCTGCCTATGGCAGCTGCAGGCGAAGTAATAGCCCCAGCACATTTCGCACTGTTTAGGCAGGTCGTTTTTGTTTATCAGTCTGGCGGCGCGGCTGCCAAAGAGGGACCAGAATCTCTTGGTAGGCTTCAGAAAGGACACAAGTAGGGTCTTGGTCAAGGGGTTATCTGAGAATTGTCTTCCAGTAC